TGATCCTTACTTAATTGAAAATGGGCAGCTAAAGGCACGTTTGCAGGTTTAGCATTAGACATGGCAAATTTTTCTAAGATCTTACTCACATAAGAAATTTGATTCAAGAATAGCAAATTATTATCTCGATTGCGATCAATGTTCATGCCCAATATTTTCTTAGCATCCCCTAAGTATTTCATGTCAAATTGTTCACTTAGACACATTTTCACATGATCAACAGATTTCACACAAGGGCTGATTATGAGCATATCATCGACATAGATCAACAAGAAAATAGGCACAGAGCGAGTATCTTTGAAGTAAAGACAAGGGTCATAATCACTTTTCTTAAACTTCAATGAAAGCATGCAAGAATCGAATTTCTTATTCCATTGCCTAGGTGATTGTTTCAAGCCATATAAAGATTTTTTTCAGCAAACACACATATTCAGGCCTTTTAGCATCTACGAAGCCCTCGGGCTGTTTCATGTAAATATGCTCATCTAATTCACCATGCAAGAAAGCAGTTTTTACATCCATTTGTTTCAATTCCCAATTGAAATGCGCAACTAATGCAAGCATAATACGAACAGTGGTAAATTTAACAACGGGAGCAAAAATTTCAGTATAATCTATACCTTCCTTTTGCGTGAAACCTTTAGCAACAAGACGAGCCTTATACCTAATGGAGTCTACCTCATCCTTAACCTTAAACAACCATTTGCAGTCTACCAAAGAGCAATTAGCAGGTTTAGGAACAAGAGTCCAAGTTTGGTTAACATGCAAAGAGTTCATTTCCTCTTTCATAGCATTTAACCATTCAGCTGGTTTATCAGATTTTAGAGCATCCCTAACAGTTTTAGGTTCATTGCTATCTATAGATTCAAACACATTGAAAACATGAGAAGCAAGATGAAAGCTATCAAAACGTTGTGGAGGCCTAGCATTTTCACGTCTAGGTCGATCTCTAGCAAGTTGATAATCAGACAAGTCATCCACATTAGGCAAGTCATGTTCAACATTTTGGTCATGCAAACTTTCAAGTATTTCAGATTCAATATCAGGCACATTTTCAGATTTAACAGTAGGCAGCTCCACCTCATTTGGAGCAGCCTCTGAATTCACAGCATTATGCACAACAAGGCAAGGAAAAACAGATTCATTAAAAATCACATCACGACTAGTAGCAGTTTTATAGCCATGTTCCCCTTTAACCCAAAGTCTATAACCTTTAACCCCTTCGGGATAACCCAAGAAAACACATTTCACAGAACGAGGTTCAAGCTTATCACTTTTATGATGCATGAATGCAGCACACCCAAAAACACGTAAGTTGGACAAATCAACCTTTTTACCCGACCAAACACATTCAGGCAAATCACCATTTAAAGGCACAGAGGGAGACCTATTAATCAAATAGGTGGCAGTCAAAACAGCCTCACCCCAAAACATAGTGGGTAAACCCGAAGTGGCGAGCATGGCTCGAACCCTCTCTAAAAGAGTTCGATTCATACGTTCAACCACTCCGTTTTGCTGAGGGGAGTAAGGAACAGTTTTGTGCCTTTTAATACCAGATTCAGAGCACATAGCATCCATTTCTTGATTACAAAATTCTGTACCGTTATCTGTCCTAAGGGTTTTTATCCGTTTTCCTGTTTGGTTCTCAATATAAACTTTCCATGTTTTGAACTTATCAACAACATCAGATTTTTGTTTCAACAGGAAGACAAACACCTTACGAGAGAAATCATCAATTATGGACAGAAAATAACGGTTCCCACCATGTGTAGGAACACTAGCAGGACCCCACACATCAGCATGCACATACTCAAGAATATCAGAACATTTAGAGGGATTGGGGGAAGGGGTTGGTTGAAAAGAAACACGAGTTTGCTTTCCAACGATGCAAGAGTCACACATAGTAACCTCAGACACTTTATCATTGCCAAAATAGTGATTATTATGCAGAATGCTGAGGCCTTTATTACTAATATGACCTAGTCTATTATGCCACAGAATAGAATGATCACTTTGGACAGCATTCACAGAAGCAGATGATTCAGAATGACATACATACATATTTTGCATTCTCATGGCCTTAAAACATAGCAGATTACCCCTCATAATTTTCATGCAACCATTACCCCAACCACCATGAAACCCATCATCTTCTAAGATAGCACATGAAATCAGATTTTCACTCAAATTAGGAACATGCCGCACATTTTGCAAAGTTAACACATAACCAGTTTCAAACTTTAAGCAAACAGTTCCAATTCCATGAACTTGGCGTTTTGTGCCGTCAGCCATAGTCACATTGCAATTATTCAATGATTCATAGTGGGAGAAAACATGTTTCATAGGAGTCATATGATGTGAGCATGCAGAATCTAAAAGCCAATCATTTTCGCCAAGAGATGATAGCACAGAATTCACACAAGCATGTTCACCAACCATAAACACATCACCAAGATTATTATCAGAAACATGATTAGCATGCTGATCATTAGAGTGCTTATTAGGCTTAGCACAGTTTTGAGCATAATGACCAGGTTCACCACAGTTATAGCACTTACGGTTACTAACACGAGTTTTTGACTTACTCCTGCCCCTGCCCTTTTTCTTTTGAAAATTGTTTTGATGAGAACTATTTTGAGAAACATTTTGGTTACTGAAAGAAGGCTTATTTGAAAATCGGTTTTGCTGCCTTCCTCTCACAAAGTTTACCTCACCAAAACTCTTATTGCTTTTGTTAACTCTCAAATCCAGTTCTTTACTCTTTAAACCGTTTATGACAGTGTCAAGAGAAATATTATCCCTGCCATACTTAATAGCAGATTTCAAATCGTTGTAAGAATCAGGGATTGCGTTTAACAAAACAATGGGAGTATAGTTATCAATACTTTTGTCTCCCGTCAGTTTAATATCCTGAACTAATCTGGTAAACTGATCTATGTTCTCATCAATATCTTTGGTTAGATCCAATTTGAATCGAAAAAACTTTTCGAGTAAAAACAATTTTGAGGGCAGAGAAGTTTCAGTGTACAACTCATCTAACTTTTCCCACAGACCTTTGGCAGAATCATGCGTACCTACCTTTCTAATCACAGAGTCAGAAAGATTTAAAATAATGGCAGAGTAAGCAAGTTCATCAAGTTCTATTTTCTTAGAAGCAGTAGTTTCAGCAGCATAAGATTCATCAATAGCCACATAGCATCTTTGTTGAATTAACACACCTTTCATTTTCTGTTTCCAAATAGAAAAATCACCCTTACCATCAAAAGGAGCCATAGAATAGACAGACATGGCAGCCATACAAATTTCAGCACAAAGCAAGATATTAGACCAATTTTTCACAATAGGCCAAAATTGGGACAGGTGCATATGCAACAAGGATAGGCAATCTTGGAGACCCTCCCTCACAGGATTCCAGGGCACTTGCGGTCCGGTCAAGTGAGGTCGAGAATCCAAGTTATACCACCCTTTAATATTTATATATATAAGTGAGCAGTTTATATATATATGCAGCGGAAGAATAATGTTCACACAGAAGCAAGAGTGGCACACAGACCACAACAGAACACACAGAGTGGCACACAGACCACGAATCACACACAGTGGCTCACAGACCACAGAATCTAAAAATAAGGCAGTACCAGTCACAACAGAAACTAAATCCCAACCATAGGGGGTTTAGGGTACAATACCTGAGCGGAATCCGGTTGGATATCCGTACGCCCTATTTGAACGAGCACCCCCAACTTGACGATGCTCTGGTACCACTGTTGGGTGGCCGTTCAAATAGCATTAATATTACAGACCTTTAATCAAATGAATTACACAGATTAATAAGCCTAAGGGGAAGGGGATTAAGACTTAACAAATAAATTACAGAAATAAATAATAATAAGAACGAATCTGGGGCAGATCGAAAATCTGCCCGTTTTCGGCTCCGGCGGAGAAGATGACACAGCAACGGCTCAGTCCTCGTTTCCCGTGTCCACGTCCGGAGTCCAGTCGGCGGCAGCCAGCACACTCCCGGTGTCAAGCTCACAGATCCACGCCCAGCAGTCAGAACATCATCCGAGTGCTCAGATCTCAGCCTCACTCCGACTGTAGTCTCAACCCAACCCAAAACCCCAACGAATCGAACTCACACACACAGTGTTTCCCCAGATCTGGTACCCTCACTCACAGAGGTCACGAAACCACTCACCACAGAGAGGTTTAAGACAAGAAGGTAGAAGATGGGAAGATTTCGTTGTTCTCGTTGTTTTCGTTGTTTTCTTCGTTGTTCTCTTCATCTTCAAGAAGAGATGTTTATATACTCGTGCAGCTGCAGCAAGAAAGGAAAGAGAATCGACCGAATCTCCGACCGCCATGGAAACCGGCGAGAGATTCGGCCGTCGAGAAGAGAGAGAAGAGAGAGGTGCAGCTGCTAGGTTAGGGTTTGGAGGCTTTGTGAGAGAGAAGATATATATATGTGGCATGGATGGCTGAGATCGAGACTTATCAATCAACGGTCCAGATTGACTCTGCTTGGGCTTTAAGTGAACTGCTGGGCCGACACCAAGGGAGTGGGCTGCACAAGGTGGGTTAGCAGTTTTGGGCCAAATAAACATTTGGGCCCCTTTTATCTAACACAACAACTTTGACCTAATCTAAAATTTCAATATTGAAAGAATATTCAACAAAAATACCAAAATTTATAAGGGCGTGTTTGGTTGAAATACAAAGTTGAGAACAAAGAGGAATGTGTAAATATATACATGATCCGAATAAGCAATTAATTAACTACTATAATAAATGTATATATAGTACTTGAAGAAATTATTTACTGCAATATATATATATTATATATTAACGCATGCAACACATACATATATATATATAAATACCACACACACATGTCATAATTGAGTAAGGGAAACTCTCATCGGTTAATAACCATCAATATTTTGGCTCCGGCTACTTCTGGGAATCGAAATAAAGCTTGTCTCCAAGTCGTTTGAATTACGAGAACTCCGATTATCCCCCAAAATCCAGCAGCGAAACCACTAATCACAACTGCGTAAAATTTTATCGTTTCATCCCTCTCGTCTTCGTCTTCATCTTCATCGTCTTGATCGTCGTGGTTGTTTTCGTCTTCACTGTGGCATTTCTTCAGTAACAATGGAGGTCCACATAGTTGAGGGTTTCCAGCGTATATCCAAGGGTCGTCGAGCGTTTGTAGCTGGCGTCCCGTCGGGATTTGCCCCGACAAATTATTGTTCGACAAGTTCATATGGCTAAGAAACTCCAAATCCGACATACTATCCGGGATTTTTCCGACCAAATTGTTGCCCGAAAGATCGAGTGATTCCAACGAAGTTAGATCTCCAATCTTCGCAGGAATGTTTCCTCCGAGATGGTTACGAGACAAATTGAGGCCGATCAAGCTCGATAGACGTGTTAGCTCCGAGGGAATTTCTCCGATCAGATAATTACTCGAAAGATCCAAATTGACTACGTATTTTGACGTAGTTGTGTACTCCATCTCTACTCCTTTCATCACTCGATTCAACGTCTCCGACCCCCACTGACTATCATAGTAGAAGAGCCCTACGATACAATATAAAAATATATATGTAGGCACTACAACATTTAAGGCATTATACGACACGAAAAAACCGTCAGGAAAAGTGAAAAAACCGTCAGGAACATTATTCGTGACGGTTTTCGACCGTCACAAATCCGTCAAGAAAAAGGCCGTCGTATATACTTTCACGTGTAAAAAAACCGTCAGGAATAATATTTCTCGACGCTATGATAACCATCGTAAATACTCATACATATTTTCAAAACCGTCGAGAATACATTTCTCGACTGTTGAAAACCGTCGGGAATACTGGTACATATTTTTTCTATATTTTTTTTTGTAATCAATAAACCTTTACAAAAATTTAAACGCATGCCAAAAATTCGTATAATTTTCCATTACGAATATAAACACATGCTAAAAATCACTCGGATTCCCCAAAACATGAATTCTTGCTTTCCAAAAATATACAATACCAAAGTTCCAAAAATCTATCTTCAAAACAACACTTGAAGTAACCTACACAATACATTTACTTTCAAAGTCTACATATTCTTAGTTCAACAAAATGTCCTTGCTCCCATGCTCCAATGTAAAATGTGTTCCTGAACAATCAAAGAAGAAAAAAAAGTTAGTGTTCCTGAGTAAGCAAAATTCATGTTTTTAAAGCTTATAAAATTTGTTGTATACAACTTCAGATATTACTGGAAGATCGTAAAATAATAGAATCTAAAAAAGGAAATCTTTCAGGCAATCTCAAATTATATCCCATATAGTGTTGCTCAAATATGAATCCCAGTAAAGTAATTTTTGTACAGAAGACCATCAAAATCTGAAACCCCAGAGGTGGTTCGGCACAGATGACAATGAGATATCAAGAAAGTTTTTTTGAGAATTTTTCTGATATTCGGCGAAGAATGTTGCAACCCACAATTACGATGCTAAACTACAACCTACAAAATAAGAGACAACAGTGAGCTGCAATGTAAGAACTTGCGCTTGCATTATATTGTAAAAGCTACAGCTTGTACTCTGGATAAAAACACCAACGAAATACTATATGTTATTTTTACCGTGAATAAATTAAGCAAGAACGAATACCTGGATATAAGCATATTGTCACTAGCAATCCAATAACTTTACCAGGTAGAACATTTCGATACAATAGAGCAGGCCATTTATTGCTGCCAATCTTTGATCTTAATCCTCTAATCTGTAAAGTTCATCGTATAGTTTTCACTGCCATAAAAATTTGAAATTAGGTAGAAGGCTGAACAAAATTAACTCATTATATATTTATGAAAAGATATTGAAATGACGTAAGATATATCAAACCATTCCAACAACTGAACCATGGCAAGTCCTCCCCGCACATAATAAATATATGTAAAATGAGTTTAATCATTTTTAAGGGTATAATCAACTCAACCATTTATAATTTGCAGCACAGCTAGGAAGAAAAATGATTCTTAAAAGGAGAAGTCACCATACCATACCGTTATAATGTTATATTTTTGTGAAAAATATAACATTATAACTAAAATAAATAATATTTTATTAGGTGGCGTCGATGAAGCCTCATTTGCGTCACTATCAGACTCCATAAATTCAGCATCGCCATTAAGTGGAATATGAAAATGAGATGATGATGGTCTTTCTTGCGAGCACGATATCCGAAAGCTTCGCACGGAACTTCTGCAGGGATTCAAGAATGTCACTAACTACACGAATCAAACTCACTAATGACACACTATATTCAAAAAAAATTGACAAAGACAAAAAAATAAGCTACATTCTCCATCTCCCTGTGAGATAGATTTGCGTTGGCGCTTTCCACGATTCATAACCTGTGTGAACGAAATAAATTTCTTAAGAACATTTTTTTACAAATTAGAATTTATAGAAGAAACAAAATAATCAAAATTCATGTGCAGAAAATCTAAAACCCCAAAATTATTGAATCATCTGATGAAGACCTTATTCAGAGAATTAATCATCAAATAGGCAAAAATAATCAGCACGAAACCAAACACTTGAGTTGAAAACTAAAAAGCGCAATTTTGTTGGTAATCAGGCCAAATTTTAAGGATAAAACGATAATGTATCTGTATGAATGATGAAGTTTATAGACTAAGTTTGCCAACTCTTTTAACTCTTCCATTAGATAGAGAAAAATCTTACTCGAAATGGGTTAACTGCCTTATTTTTGATAGCAATTAATAGCCTTATCCTTGACAATGTTCTACATCAATGCTAGCTCAATGCTAGCTCACCTGTATGAAACTAAAAGAACCAGAGATTAGATTAAGTTCAACACATTTTGAAAAGAAACAATAATACCCTTTTTTCTATTCATTAAACTCTGACATGTAGTGCACGGACACTTGATTTCATCACCTAAACTCCCATTCCTATATGCAAACTTAAGAAAGGCATTGACACCATTTATGTACTCGGACTGGAGTCGGTTTCGAATTTTAATCCAGCTTGTTATCCACGAATCAGCAAGTTGTAAAATAAAGTTCAGTATATATGTTAATGGATTCTCACCATTTTTCAAGACCTCGACAGATGACTTGAGTTGATTCTTGATATCCTTGAGTTGATTCTGGAAAACTGTTTTAACGCTGATATCGAAACATAACTGCGAAAATTTGTAATCAAAATGTTAGAAAGTGGACAATCTAACTATTAAAAAAACACAATATAAACTCATTCAATTGTGATTTATTTGGTCATATATATATATATATATATATAAAACTATGCTTTAATTTCTACCTCTAAATATCTAATGGTTCTACAACAGTACCATATGAATAAATTAATTATAATCATATGCTGGCAGATTGTACAATTAAATATCAGCATTAGAATTAGAAACTTATTTAGAGATTTATATATAATCTGACTTGTTAGTATAAATTCACAAGTATTTTCACTACAGTTTTTTCTATTTTTCTGAACCATATGAATTCCATAGCTAATTTGTAGAAAACCCACAATATCAAAACTCAATCAAGCCAAAAAATAACACCAAGCGTAATTGGAAGAGATGTATATGTAATTTTATCATACCTAATTCCAATTTATGCCTCGAATTCGTAATGGTAGCGTTAGTGGCGCGTCGGAAGCGGTTGTGCGACCATGGAAGCGGATGTGCGACGGTGGAAGTGGATGTGCGTCGGTGGAAGCGATTGTGCGTCGGTGGAAGCAATTGTGCGTCGGCGGCAGCACTCTCGGCACGGTGGTAAAGGTCGCGGTGCAGTCGCAGCAATCGCGGGCAAGTTGAAGCGGGACGGTGGAGGTGTTGTAGCATCGGCGGTGATACTGCTGAAAAAGCCCTAATTGTGTTGTTTAGAGCTGGAGAGTAATTTTTTTTTTTTTTTATGTTTTATAATATAAGATTGTGTTGTTTAATTTAAATCATTTAGTTAGCCGTTTTATTTTACTCAAAAAAAAAGTTAGCCGTTTTATAAAACATTAAACGGGGGTATAATCTTAAGTAGCAATTTTATTTTATCAAAAATAAAAAGTACCAATTTTATAAAACTTTATGTGACGCTTATAATTCGTCGAGATTGGATTAAAAAGTGTCAAGATAACCAATATATTTGACGGTTTCTATGCGTCAAGAATCTTATAAAACCGTCAAGAATACCTTTTTTTACGACGGTTATGAAACCGTCTGGTAAAAATTGCGTCGTAAAAGCCCCAAAATGTTGTAGTGAGGTAACGCTACAAGTTATCGACATTATAGTACAATTAAACAATATAATGAGTACCGATCGATCACCTGTGAAGTTGTTGACGATCATCCCTGAGAAATTGCCGAAACAATGTGGAATCTTTCCGGTCAATTTGTTACGCGAAAGGTCCATAACTTGAAGTTGCCACGATCGACAAAATGCAGAAGGAATCGTACCATAGAATTTGTCCGAGCTCAACCGCTCA